TCTTTATTTCGAAATTTCAGTGTCAAAATGTCTGTTTTACACAATTGTTAACAAAAAATGCCTTTAATTATGCTCTTGTGCAATTATATTATATGTATGTATATGATATACCGTTATGCTGGCGCTTTTAAAATTAAGTAAACAATTTGAAATGTTTTTCATTATTTAAAAGTACCGTTGTGCTTTCATGTTTAGCACAAACAGGCAATTTAATTTTTCACACTTTCAAGCGATTTGTTAAATGTTTGCGTAAGACGCAGGGTTGATTGTGCCAGATAGTCAGGATGCATTAAACATAAAATAAACAAGCCAATTAATTTTGCTCTTTGCCACTTTAATAAGATAAGAAGAGTAAAAGATTCGCAAATAATTGTCGAGTGGTATAGTATGTAGCTATAAAAAAATGTTCATATGATAAAATTTCGTTTAAAAAATATATTAAAAATACCTTCACCTTTATTAAAAATATATTTTTTTTTAAGATACCGAAGCATCGAAAGTTATATAAGAAAATTACTTTAATATTCTGAAATATTTCAACCAATAGTTTATAACGTTTACAAAAGAGTTGAATTTCGAGAAAATAAAATTTAGATTTCTAAAATATTCAACTCAATATATAATAAAAATTATAGCGTTAAGAATTCGACTAATTTTTATCAGCCAAATTAGGTTAGGTTAGTCTGGTAGGTCAATGAGCCACACATAGACTAGTCTTGATTCTTTATGATACCAGATCGAGTTCAGTTACTCGGTCTATGAGGAGTAGTCATCCTTTAGAATGCCTGCGTTAGACGCGAAATTCAACAGACTCTGTGGCCACACTATCGATACCTCTTCTACTGTATCATATGGTAGGAACCCAAGATGCTTACAGCGCACTCTTGTCTATGCGGGACAAGTGCAGTGTGGAGTGATACTCCATTGTATTTCTGGTACCTAGCCCTGAAATTTCCTGCAGTCTTCTCGATCTGTCAACCCCAATCGCGGTCGTGTGTAGCCACCAGACAATGACCAATAATCCGATCATGTTCCTACAGTTTTTTCTATCGAGTGACCGCTTTGCACATGACTTTTGCAGTTTTGCACACAGGTAGCTCGTGTCATCGTATTTTGCCACCATGCTTCTGTAAAGATCGTCGTATAAACAATGCATGGATTTCCCTCGTCCTCTGTCAAGTTATCAGTCAAATACGGGTTGCCTAATCAATTTAGTTAGATAGTTTTGGAACCCATGAAGGCAATCCTAAACATGAATAGCTTGACGCCGAATCAAATGTGCCGGAAAGTGTCGGTTTAGTTTTGGCTGGGCTCAATGGTTGATCTAAAAGGAGGGAATAGCACTTGACGATTGTTATACTTAAGGAGTAATTACCTTTGGGAATCCACAATATAGAATTCCAGCAATTAAAGTATCGACAAAGCGCCTCGATTAAAATACAAATCTGCTTTCTATACCACCAACCCAGCAGAATGCCTAAAAGTGTGAGCTCCCAAGTGTTAAAGCCTTGATTACGCAAAGGGATGCTTCTAACTCGTCTTCTTCCTAACAGCTTCAATAAATGGCATTTAAAAATCATACTGCTGCTGGGCTATGACCTCCTTTAGCCAATACAACTAGAGAAAGGCTAGCCTTACCGAAGGTGAAGAGCATAAAAGCTTAAAGAGCTGGATATCTCATGCGACCTATCTACACTCAAGAGGATCTTGAACTTAAGAACTAATGGTGGCTCAGCTCAGATAAAACTTACACTAATCTTATCTCTACAGCATTAAAAAGCACCGAGAGAGCGGACCCATTTACATTCCACTGACTTTTGTCGACAGCTCGTCAACTTTGCCTGCGATTCCGAGGCCTGGCACCCATACTCGTCTTATGGTGATTCGAAGTGATTCGATGCCATTGATATCAGGGTTATATTTTTCACCAACTAGAATGAATAATTATTTCACTGAAGGAGGCTCCACTCTGGAGCAGAAAGTAGTAGTTGAATTGTTTAAGACATTTGTCAAAATGAAGTGACATAGGTTGCAAGATTTAACTTTCGCTGACTTTTTACTGTCGAAATCCGAAAGGAATGAAAACACTCTGGCTCTGAGAGTTTTCTACGCACTCCCGCTGGGTTGAAACAGAAAAAGGAGAAGACCTCCACTGTGTTGGAAAGAACACATGAGTAAGGACCTGGCTACACTTGGAATTTCCAATTGATGCTAAACAGAGTAAAGAAAGAACGAACGGTGCGCTGTTGTAAACTCGGTTACGCCAATAAAGAAGTATCTTCTCTAGTACGAACTCAAACCAAGCATACGGGTCGAAATTTTCGATTAAGTAATGCAAACTCATCTAAACAATTTTTTTTGTTTTTTTTTTTTTTGTACATCCAATTGAAAATTCTTTTGAAAAATATGTATGCATGTACGTATACATGCATATGTAATTTTAACATGCTGAGTATAAACACTTGAAACCGTTCAAAAATATTGATTTTTTGGCACCTTTTACTTTTTTCACAATATAATCGCTTCATGCAAAATCGAAAATTTTTACGATGTTTCGGCATCAACAATTTATAAATATGTAGTTGGCATTTGTTTTATTTTTTTATTTCGTGCTGTCGATTGTATACATAATTAAAGGTGAAAGAATTTCAAGAGAATTTATTTGCAAGAGTGTTCAATGAGAGATACATACTATAAAATAATAAACTATCAACCCAAGTATTTTAATTAATGAAAGCGCATTTCTGTAAGGCGATCAAAAATGTTTAATGACAGCTGAACTGAATTTTTGAAAGATATAGAATTATATTTAAAATTTTCGAAAATATAAAACCAGATTCTTCTTTGAAAAATCTTACATTGAACGAGTTTTTTTAAAACTCAATATTTTTCTTAAGAATTATTCAGGTTATGTTGTAGATGAATTTTACAAATTTTATAAGTTCAATCAGATATATAGTATGTGGATAATGCTATTAGCTCACAAAAAGTTTAGGGTTCCACAGGCAGTACAGTGTATAACGACTGGATTTCAAAATTTTCAGAAGCCGATTCAGCTAACTTAGATTAATATCCTTGGTTACTGTAATTGTGTACTATTTATAGAAGATAATGGATGGTTGGATAAACTCCACCGTAACACCGTAACACCCCTCCAAAAATAGGCTCCTCCTTGAGAATTACTACAGGGAGGAGCTCAGCAAGTAGCGGCATAGAGTGGAAACATTCACTCAGCTGAGTATTTTGATCGATTTTAATTGCATTCTGGTAAATGTCAACAGTAATACATGGGGTCATTTACCAAATTTTGTGAATCGGACGAAAACTTGTTCTAAAACAACGAGCGCAGCTCTAGATGCATTGCTACGTATTTTTTACCCACAACTGAGTTGAAATTGAAAATTAGTAATAGCGCTATGAAGTGCCAGCTATAAAAATATATACGGCTGCCGTTGTATGAGGGCTGTTTTTATCAATCGATCGCCTCCGTCGAATGTGTTAAGTTCGAAACTACCATTCGCGGATTTCGTGAAGTTGTAAGGTTATCAAATTTGAATCGCACTACTCATTTTTGAAGCGGCATTCGTAGATTGATGGACAGTTTCGTAAATTTCCGTCTCGTCACCGGTAATTATATGTTTGATGAATGTAGAGTTCTTTGCTACATTGTCAAGCATTTCTTTTATCACCGTTTTTACAAAAGATATAGATGTTTTGATACGAGTCTAGCGTTGACCTGTTTCATACCCAAAACATTAACCAAATTGGATTGATTCGATCCATAAGAGATCATCTCTTATATCCCTAATGCCAACAGGAAGTTTTTTAAACACGGTGTCTTTGACTCTTTCGATGTTATCGCTATTATTTCGTTATTATCTTAGTATCTTATTCGAAGATACAGTCTTAAAAACTTGTATGCTCGAGGCTAGCTAGGCTAAGTGAGTCGTCTTTAAACGCGTTTTTTATCGGGAACTACTCAACCGATCTTCGTCCCTTCGTCCAAGTTCTAAAACAAAGTTTTAACTAAAACAAGGTTTTTTCACATTAGAAGATCCTGTAAGGATTTATCCTACCGCCCGCGCACATCTTTTTTCCAAGGGGTCAAAATATATTTTCCAAAAATTTCAGAACTTCTTTGTTAATAATGTATATTTGCAACAATAATAAATCTAATAAAATATTTAATTTTTATATGAGAAAAAATTTGTTGAAAAAAGCTGTTTTTACCCGAAACCAATTTATCCGTTAATGGCCGCCTCGCATGAGTAAACTTTTCGATGACTTTACTACTTTCACGGAATGTTTTTTTTTTTTTTTAGTGATTATGGTTTGCCTGTATAGTTTTAATGGCCCGGTCCAAATTGATCAAACGGCAGATGAATGAAATGAATTTTTACTGGAGCTTTAAGGAAAAACATCTGACATTTCTTAGAAGATTAATAATGATATTTAAAGCAGAACAGTTTTAAAAACATTTTTTTCATGATAGCGAGAGAAACATAGGTGCTAAAGCCTTCCTTTGTCCAAATTTAGGTTATAAATCCATAAAATCTTACGTCGATATTTCGCTTTAAATTATTATAAATTTAAGCGGAAAATAAATAAGATTCGAAAGAAATTTTCATTATCTGAGGCAATCTGCCGAAACATACTAAAATTCTTCCTGAAATCATTAAATACCAAAAGCAATGTGTTAATCTCCTTTGCGCGCGCCAAAAATACTTCGCAGACACTAAATTATCGTTTGGATTTGCGATTTAGTTAAAATGTATGCAATTTTAATTGCGAATAATTTGTGTATAATTCGCAACAGGCCATTTGCATATAAATCTACTATAATTCAGACTACGGCTGCTAGCACTTGCAAGAGCACTAAGTTAGACAATTAGCGAGTTTCGCACGCGGAAATGCCAAAACACAAGATATTTTCATTCAAATAACGCTAATTGCAATTGAATTAATAACTTTTCTTTGTATTACAATGTTTGCACTTGCAGATCAGGGCACACAAACCGATACGCTGCTAATTACCGAGGAGACGACAACCAAGCGCGAGCAAAACAGGCAAGAGCGCGGCAAGAGCGAGTGCAATGATGATGGCGCTCGCAGCGCAAACGAACATTCGCCGTCACCACAACGTGAAATACTACACAAAATTCACAAGTCCGCCTCATTCTCCTCATCTTCCGGCAACTCATTAGGCGGCTCCTCACCGCTCGGCTCGGCCACCTCCACCACATCGCTACACTACTCGCCAATACGTCCAGCTGCGCGTACACTCAAGAGTGACTCCAGCAGCACTTATCAAAAGTGGGAAAGTACCGTTGAGTCCATAAGTTATGTGTCGCGTAAGACGGTAGCCATTTCCGATTATGGCTCGGATGTGGAGAGGCCTAGATCCAACTCGGTTTCAGTCAATTCACAAACGACCCAATCGCGTTCGTCAACCACAACACCCGTACCGGGACCGGTACCGGCGGCCAGGCATACCACTGCAACTACTGCCATGCCGTCAGCCAGTAACGGGGCTATGTTCAGTAGCACCAGCACGACCAGCAGCGGCATCGACAGCAGCAGTTGTGGCTTGGGCACCACCTACAAAGCAACCACGACCACCAGCAGCAGCAGCAGTAGCAGTAACACTTCGTGCAGACGCATCAATGGCAATGGGGGGTTGTTGGGTCATGCAGCTTCGCCCACATCAAAGCTGCATACGTTTTCTAACGGTTCGCCGCTGTCAGTCAAACAGACAGGTAGGTAAATAATTATTCGTTGGCTTCTGGAATATATTTATTGACTCATGTCCACATACATACATCCAGTATATGGATCTTCATTATTGTCCTCGGTATATGCTCGCCTTTTCTACTTTTATTTTTATTATTTTTGTGTGCTTGTGTGGCATACGTAGTTGCACGTCTGCATATTTATTCTTCGCATTCCATTTCATATCCGCATTCGTTCACAAATATCTCTATATTCATTGTGTGTTTCATCTGTGTTCACAAGTGATTTGAAGGTTTAAGGCATCATTCGGTACATATTTCGACAGTCATCAATGTATTTTTGTATATAAACATATTTGTTCGCTAATTTTCAAACTTATTCATTATTGTGTATTGTGTGTTTTCTCATTTCTGATTATTTTTAAAGTTATTTGTGATTGCTCGTCATATATTTGTAAATTTTCGGTCATAAATTGTAGAGGGTATTTCGTTAACCTTCGAAGAATTTCTGAAATTACTTTGTTCTGAAGCCGATTTTTGACATGATATATAGTATTACATTATAAAAATTAATTTTTGGAAAAAGAGGAAAAATTATGATGAATGCTCTGATAACCTTTTCTGAAATCCTTAAATTAATTTTGGAATAGATTTATCACCTCTTGAGCAGTAATATCGTGATTAGATGGGCTTGCATGCTCAGCAGCATCAAAATTGTAGAAAACTGCAATGCTGGCGCGCTTGCTAGGTCAGGTACTTCAATGTGACTAGCTGCAGAATGAGAAAAAGTAGGAACTCCACTGAGTTCTTGTACACTATCGTTTGTTTGGGACTCAGGCGAGCTCGGCAAGCGCTTAAGTTAGAAAAGTGATTCCGGAAATGCTCTCAATTTAGGCATGAACATGTTCCTACATACATATGAATGTTACTTTGAGAAGAGTTGCTGTTAAATCTCTAGATCTATTTACAAACAAAATCACTGAGAACATCTTTTGTGATACAGGCAAATGAAGATCTCTTTATTTTTAATCAAAAATAACTGATCTTAGGGAAGACTAGTAAGTGTTCTGTATTTGTAAAGTAAGTTAGTAGAGTAACTTGAGGTTTTTTTTCTACCAATTAATTATATTTATGCGAAAAACGTAGTTTACAGATAGATTAGGTTAGGTTAGATGGCTGATCAAAGATCGCACGTGAACCACTCAATGAGGTTCTTTGTAAGGCCATTGAAAGAAATGAACTCCTGCGTTCGCACTATAAATTAGCAAAACGCATAGTAGTCAATACAAAATTGCACAGGCGTTTAATTTTAATTCCCACCAACTCGGTAAGATGTTTGAAGGCAAAGACATTACTAGATCTCTTGTGATCGATCTTGGGCCCATAGGATTTTGCCACAGCGTGAAGCCCAGCTATTTAGTAATAGAACCCAAGAGGATACCGATCCACTCCCATTCTATCGATAGCGGTTCCAGGGTCCCTTTTCTTGCTAGCTCATCAGCTCTACAGTTTCCTGCGACTCCGCTGTAGCCTGGCACCTATAACAGGCTTATCACAATGACACTCGAGATCAAGGTTATCAGGCACTCTTTAATCAGCCCTGAACACACTGTTAAAGAGTACAAAGATAGTAGCGCCGCTCTGCTATCTGAGTGCATGGTCACATCTCTGAAGGAGAAGACTTCTCCGGAGCAGTAAATCTACTGCTACTTTAAGGGCTATAACCTTAGCCTGAACTGCGATAATCATGAAGTCTAAAACTGGAGTTAATAAAGAGATAGTGACAGTAGACCCTCCACAAACATTCAACCAAGCTATGGCCCATCCGTGAAGAAGCTCACTGCCACTCTCCTTTAACGTGTTTTTCCAACCCAAGGAAGGAAAAGAAGCCGCTAGTGATCGGTTTGGCAACTCCATAATCCAAGTGATCCGATATTAAATCAAAATGAGTGAATATTTCAATTAGTGCTTAGGCCTGAGTCGAATGGCAACTTTCGTGCAATATGTGCAGGATGGTGTTAAGTGCCACGGTTGGGATGGACGTTAGTGCAGCACACATGCTGATCAGCGCCGCTCGTTGAACGCTATCGAATACCTTTTTTGCTCTCTCTTCGATATTCAGCTTCCATGAATCCTTCCTAGCCAAGACGAGCCTTAGATTTTTACAGATACTTAAGTTACTTTTTTAATATTATACTCTTTTCGGGTAAGGTCTATCAGAGCATGAGTGTGGGCACCTCATTTTTGCAATTTGTCCATAGTGACGACTGAAAACATCCGTTCAGAAGACTGATACTGAAACCTGGGATCATTTTTTTATTCTAATGTATTGTATGCGAATCTTCAGATTCAATAATCCAGCACATAAATATTACTATAAGTTTGAAACTTTTGAGAACTGCCAAAAGTAATGTAATTATTTTGACCAATTCTACATGAACAACATTAGATAGATGTATCACACGCCATTTACAGCATCCCTAAATACCACATTATGCGCTGTACGAAGACCAGACACGAACAACACCACAAACCCATGTAAAGTCACTAAATATAGCTGGCAGTAGAGTTTCCGTCAAAATCAAAACAGAAAACAAAAAAATTCTTGCGACAGATCCAGAGCAAACCAAAGAGTAAAGAAACCCAAAGAAAAGCAGAAACTGAAGAAACCTGCAATAAAGTATTTTCGAACCACACGCACAGCACAGACGAGCGCACAAGTGTGCATAGAGGCACACGCAGCCTCCGGCGCCGAACTCCATCGCGAGGCGGCGCAACACGCATGCACGAATACGTGTGGGTAATCAGTCGGTAATCGTCAAGTCGCAATGGTATTTCTAGATGATGTATCTGTACGTATTAACACATGTATGTACGTATGCATGTATGTATGTATGTATGTATATTACCATGTACATTACTCCATATGGTCACAATGCCGGTCGGCGCTCCGCTGTCTGTCTGTGGGGCACTGTGGCAACTTCTTGAAATATCCAATCTCATTCACACCAAGTAACCATATACATATACATACGTATATGTTGCTATGCGTTGCATAGCATGCGAGTGTATGCGTTTATTTGTAAGCGATGTTGGAGTTGAATGTAGCAGCAAAAATTGCAAATTAATTTCATTGTGTGTAAAATGTAATTTGATAGCACTTTCGAATGTAACAAAAAAATGGGAAACCAAAAACAAAAATTAATCTTGTATTGCGACAGGCATCTCGATCACATCATTCGAGTTGTAACACATCATTATGCATTTATGTTTGCTCACATACATATGTATGTATGTATGTTCATGTGAATGGATTATGAATTTCTTCAAAAACAGACAAACATATACACATACAAACATATGCATATAGTATGTATGTAATATCCAGACTTATTGCATCTGAATCGTGCCCCATGTGGTTTTGTGGTAATTTCTTCTTCGACTTCTTATGCTGCAATATTATTACACACATGTGTATGTCTGTAAAAATAATATGTATGTATGTAAGTAGATACCATATGACCTGAACGTCACTGTGGGTTTTGGTGAATCACTCGTGATCTCTTGGTTGGCATCGCCTTATAAAAGTTGGGTTTATAAATAAGGAGATGTTCGAAAAATCAGTGGCCTAATGACGACTTACATATGTATTTAAATTCATGAGCATTTTGTTCTCACCTAACTCAAATCACCGTAATCCACAAAAACAAAAACAAAAAAAAAACTTCGAGTTACTGAAGGAAATTTGTATGAAATTTTACTTTTATTGTCAACTCAAGAGTTATGAAGAACTTCGAATTATAGAAGTTGTATTGTATTTTTATTATATCTAGACACTTAGTGTACTACTGGCCAGCGTTGGGCCACTATCGGATCGTCTATTTCTTTACTAGGAATTTTACTCTTCCTACTCATCATCTGACAAAGTTTGGTTACACAACGACAAGTAATTTATCCTATAGAACTTAGTTCTTCAATTGAATGACTACAAAATACTCCACCCGATATTTTTTATGCGGTTAAGCATTATCAACTCGGCATAATTCTGCCGCTACTACAACATCATACAGACTCGTATCAAATCTAGGAGCATAATTCCATTTCGTCAGTGCAATCGAAGTAGAGTTTTTAAGCTGACAACAAAACACGTATATAAGGCCGATTTAGTTTCGAATCACTACCGATTTTATATTATGGCCAAAAGTATATTTTATATTTTCTTAAATCATTTTTCGGTTATTTTATTTTAACCGCAGCAGGACATCAAAATTTTATAATATGGTATGACCCTTTTATCAGAGATACTCATTTGAGATGAATCCCGATTTTATTTCATCATTGATCAAAATGATCATCATTAATCAAAGTGGTCATCGTTTTCTACACAACCCGGTTTGTTATTTTGCTTCTTCTTCTTTTCGACAGGAGCACCCAATGCTTTAGAAGAACGATTAAAGAAACCTTGATGGGTTTTTTTGAAATAAATTCTTGGTGCTAGAAGCTTGGTAGAAGCAAAGTTCGTTCACTACTGGCTTTCATTCCGACTCTTACTCAAATTTAATTTATGTAGGTTCAGAAATTTAGAATTTTCCTCAAGTCAAAAATTCCACAGACCACCCTCGTACAGCATGAAAATGCCTTTGTCCATAAAAGTCGTACTTCTTCCGTTGCGCTTGCAGACGCCCCTCGGCTTTGCTTGTGGTCTGCTTGCTGAATATCACTTATCACTTTTCTCGTTATAGCCTCAACACATTGTACTTGTAATTATGTACTCGTATTTTTATAATTTTCTTCATTACATATAGCAATTGCAATACATATATCTTTAAATCCTTGGCTATTTGTAATGAACTTTTCACTCGAGAGGGTCGTCACGTGATTGTGTTATAAACAAGGAATTCACAAATCTCAGAGTGTTTTGGTCTTCAAAAATGTATGTGAAATTATGAAGTAATGTTCCGTTTTTAAAGTCGTTCAAACCGATAATCGTGTTGCAGTATCAGGTTTGCCGTGTTATGACGACATTT